CTGAGTGGCTAGTTTTACGTTCTATACACTTTAGTTTACCAAAAATACAAATTGTTAGCAAATATTTCATCAATAAACCATGTCATTTATCTTTTTCTTTGTGGTTATACTTCAATCGGTATGTCCTCTGTCCGGATCATCCTAGTTACAATCATTACCAAAATGCGATTTTCCTTGTAACTCAGTAGAGCGCATTTACCCATTGTAATACCGAGCTGCGCTTGGAAATAAAACAGTTCCCCACTTCATTACTTGATGATGATGAACCACTGGACTTGAAAGTAGAGCAAGCAAGGCTCGATAGAGAATCACAAAAAGATCTTTTTTCAATGTTATCACAGAGTACTTTGGAGTTTTTTCCGTGACTTAAACCTGGTAAAAGACTCCACGGTGTTCTGAAATGTGTGCAAATCGTCCTGCCGCTTGGAGCAGTGGGATCAATCTGAGCTCGCGACAAGTACTTCTTCTCCCGCTCAACAGTTAAACAGATAACTCCATCAACGTTTTTATTCTTTATCGGCCTATTTCTGGAGACCAACTTTGGAAGAAACCTCGAGCCGCTCTGCAAGTTCCTGAATGAACTGCCTTTACCGTATTTCACTGAGTCTGAAATCTTGCCCTCTCGAGTGCAACTCCCGTTTTTAAATTCGTCGTCCTTTTCTACGACTAAAGATGCTCTATTCGAGCGACATACAAACCAAGAACGACGTCCAGTTTTTATGTTTGAGCTCATGGTCGGTCCAACCTGACTCGATGCTTGCAAACTCGCAAAAATGAACAGTTTATCTCCAGCGGCCAAATGGATCGGGCGCTTAATTAAGCCCAAGAAACGGAACACGTGCGATTTACGTTTATCTTGACAGTCGCGACGGCAAAGTACTGCCGGCGTTTGTCTACTTTGACAGTTTTTGAAAATCAACAAACCAATTCGACCATGAAGGAATGGCAAATATTCGTCTTGACGAGATCTCGTCCATGGAGTTACGTCATCTGGTTTATTAAACCGGCTCTCAGCCACCTAATCATCGATTCGGTTGAATGGAATTGAAAAGTAGAGTCAAAAATCATTAGTAGGAAAACAAACTAGAATTGAAGTGCATTCAATCGAGACTCAATCAAGATTAAGTGCATAGATGATGACGAAAGCCAGCTAATTATGGATTATTGGGGAAACAAATGTAACAAAATGATTGATGACTGCAACTAGGTCGTTTCTTGCGGCACTCATTTGTTTAAATAGGTATGTTAAACTTTTAAATTAAAACTTTTTTTCGATATTTCTGATGCTCCATACAAAAGAGAATCAAGTAAAAATGCTTTGCCGTCCTCTGTACCAGAATGTAATTCTCAAGAACGTCCAATGCTACAACCAACTACATTGCTAGATGTCTGGGTCTTCTGTTCTGTAAGTCTTGCTTTACTTGACTTTCATCAGCAGGTCAAATTAAATTTATTTTATTTAATATTATGACTAGATTCCTCCACGAGAAAGAAGAACCGTCTAAAATGTGTGCGCTCTCAACATGTGGCTTCGTAGCTCGATTGGTAGTATCTGAGAGGCCTGGGTTCGAAACACGTCGATGCCTGAAATTTTTTCAGGCTTCTTTTCTGAAATTGCATAAGTTGCAGCTCACTTACGCTGATCATTGCTTCACTTAATCTAGTGTTAGCGCTGCTTTTTCGAGTCTTTTTGAGATTCAATGAATATTTCCGCTGACTCTTTTTTCCCCGCCGATTTCCCAACGTCTAAATTTATGGGATATTAAGTCCTGGTTCGACAATTATATTTGCATTTGTAAACATTCAAAGCTGCTAAATGTTTTGCATCTTGAAAGGAAAGGAAAAAGGCCCCCCATAAAAATCTATCGGTGGAACATTTCTCCGTGTAGAAACAAACTTACCATCCTTGGAGGATCCCGATGGACCTTCACAATGTGTCAATTCGATCAATCTACTTTTGTGTATTTCAGCTTCACCAGGCGAGAGTTTTCCGGCCAAGTGACAAAATCGATGTCTTCAATAATTTCTTATATCTTTCACTAGCTTCGTTTCAAAATTTTTTATAGCAATTTTATCATTTACTATTTGGAACGTTCATGTAATATACAGCGACAGATAACCAATTTTGTGATCCTGGAAAACAAATTTCCTTCCAGTATTTTCGGTTTAGATCATGCAGCATTCATTTTTGCTCCTTCCAAGTAAAATCGGACTTTCTTATGTGATTAGTCATTTCCTTTAGAGCTGTTTTCCGACACTAACATTATGTTATAGGAAACTCGTGGGACGTTTTGTGGGACGGTTTGTCTGTGTCGCTATCCTCAGCCGGAAAGAAATCGCTTAAAAACGTTTTGCCCAAAGTCAATTGTTGGTCTGTCCACCGCAAAATGTATATATATTCAGAAATACTTTTATTCGTAAGCTTGCCGATATAGTTTAGTTTGACTTTTATTTAATTCGTTTCATAAATGAAGAACAAAAATACTTATGATTTTGTTTCGTATAACACAAAGTTGCAAGCTGATGACGATTCAGTTTTACCACATAATCAGTAAAATTTAAAAAAAAAAAAAAAAAAACAGATTTTATTGACAGCTGATGCAGTCAATGCAACTGAAGAAAGCTGATTATGGTAGAACTTTTTAAATTCAGTCATTCAGTTTGTTTTCATAAAAATTGGTTTCCTTTTAAATTTCACAAAAGTCACTGCGATATAAAAGGATCATTTTGGAGCCTACCGAGTGTGGGAAGATGCCCCCCAGGGTGAGTTTCATCTCATAAATTGAAAGAAGCGAGGCTCGTTTGGAAAAAATAGTTTCCATGGAAGTATTAAAAAATGTAAAACACGGCTGATTACGTGGGTGTATTACCAAAAGAGAAATGCTATTTTAGTTCATATAACTTAAATCTTCGCACGTAATTTGCACTTAGCTCTTCGCACGTAATTCACACCTTTGGCATGAATTAGACACGTGGCATATTTATCTTAAAAAAATTAAAATGTGTATTCATTTCTAATAATAATAAAGATAAGGATAAAAATTTTAATTCTTATCAAGATCCAAACCTTACATATATTCTTGCTAAATAGTGTCTATTTTGCTTTAAGTTTGTGATGATAAATCACATACACCCATACGGTTAACGCTAGATACGTTCGGACGTTCGTTAAAAGGGGAATTTAATATTATCAACCGGGTTGATAACGTAAATTGGCCTTTGTTAAAAGTTTAAAAGCTGACGTTTTGAGCGTTAGCCCTTCTTCAGAGCAATTGGAGGAATTGTGGGCTGAGTGCGTGGGTTTATATGCAGAAAATGGAGCTACGCTGTTGGTGGGAATATGGTGACGAGAAAACAAGAATAAACTAGTGGAATGAAAAGCGCTTTTTGCCGATACTGTGGGGATTAAGAGTGCCGATTTGAAAGATAAATTTTTGTTCTATGGTTTTGCGGCTTTCCGAACTGCCTAGATGTAGGGAGAGGCTGCAAACTACCATATGCTGCTTAGAATCATTAGGTAGATAAAAGTGTCTAGCGACTGGTTTGGATGCGTCCTTGTCATTTCTTTCTACGTCCCGGAGGTGTTCTCCGAATCGGTCACCCAGTCGTCTTCCTGTTTCACCATTGTATAACTTCTTGCAATACGTGCAAGTTATGCAGAAAATGACATTGGCGGAGATGCGCGTAAAGTGATCAGTGATCTTAATGGATTTCTTGGGTCTCGACATTTTCTCTACCTTATGAATGAAAGGAAAAGTTTTGCATCGTGAGCGAGCGCAATTGAAAGTTTCAGTTTGGCCATTGGTTTGAAATGAACTTGTGACCAAAAAGTCGCCTATGTTTTTGTCACGTTTGAATTAAATTAGCGGAGGTTGCCAAAAGATAATACCAGTCTCTGAAATGTTTTGGATTAACTTAGAGATTTTAAGAACGATAGACCTAACTGCGGGGTTGTGAGGGTGAGATGTGTGAGTGAATGGAATGCGATAAGTGCTTTTCTTCTCAGCCGTTTATAGCGCTGACTGTTGTTGGGCGCAGTGGTGGCCCGCTTGAACGACAGAAACAGGATAGCCACGTTTATCGAAAAACTGGCACATTGCCACTGATTTTTCGGAAAAATCAGAGTCGTCACTACATAGGCGACGAAGTCTGAGAAACAGTAAAGAAGGTATGGAATTCTTGAGTGTGATGTACGCGAAGATGAATACAACAAGTAACTATGTGAATCTGTATGTTTGTAGTAAATACTAGAGCGTAGACCGTTGCCTTCAATTGAAATTTTGATGTCTAGAAGTATATTTAAGAGCCGGGCGAAAGGAATTAATGGCGGTAGAGGAGGTAGCACCGATGCAATCATTAATGTAGCGACCGTAGAGTTCAGGTTTGGGGCCGTGGTACTGACTAAAAAATTGGTGTTTGATAAAACCTCGAAAAAATTGGCGTAGCTGGGTCCCATTTTAGTACCCATGGCTACGCTATTAGTTTTTTCGTAGTGGTTACCTCTGAATGAAAAGCAATCGCCGTGTAAGTACTAGTTCAGCTAAAAGGAGTAGTGTTTCAGAGCTAGGGTTCCTGAGCTAAAATATCATTTTTTTTTTGTAAAGCACCCACGCAATCAGCCGTGTTTTGCATTTTTGAATACTTCCATCGAGACAATTTTTTCAAACGAGCCTCGCTTCTTTCACTTTATAAAATGAAACTCGAGCCGGAGGGCATTTTCCCACGCCCAGTAGGCTCCAAAATGATCTTTTTATATCGCAGTGACTTTTATGGAGTTAAAAGGAAACCATTATTATGAGCATAAACTGAGTGACTGAATTTAAAACGTTCTACCACAATAAGCTTTCTTCAAGTACATTGACTGCATCCGCTGTCAATACAATCTGTTTTTTTTAATTTTATTTTACTGGTTTTATGGTGAAACTGAATCGTCATCAGCTTGCGACTTTGTGTTTCACGAAACAAAATCATAGGCATTTCTGCTCTTCATCTCTGAAATAAATTAAATGAGAGTCAAACTAAACTATATTGGCCAGCTTACGAATAAAAGGATTTCTGACTATATATACATTTTGCGGTGGACAGGCCAACAACTGACTTTGGGCAAAACTTTTTTAAGCGATTTCTTTCCGGCTGAGGATAGTGACACAGACAGACCGTCCCACATAACGTCCCACGAGTTTCCGATAATATATTATTAGTGTCGGAAAGCAGCTCTAAAGGGAATGACTAATCACATAAGAAAGTCCGATTTTACTAGGAAAGAGCAAAAATGAATGTTACATGATCTAAACCGAAAAGACTGGACGGAAATTTGTTTTCCAGGATCACAAAATTGGTTATCTGTCGCTGTAAATTACATGAACGTTCTAAAAAATGAATAAAAAAAATTACTATTGAAAATTTTGAAACGAAGCTAGTGAAAGAAATGATAAATTATTGAAGACAACCATTTTGTCACTTGGAAAACTCTCGCCTTGTGAAGTTGAAATACACAAAAGTAGACTGATCGAATTGACACATTGTGAAGGTCCATCGAGATTCGTCTAACGATGGTAAGTTTGTTTTTACAGGAAGAAATGTTCCTCTGATAGAATTTTTCTGTTTGTGCGTTTTGCCTTTCTTTTCAAGATGCAAGCTTCTCGTAATTAAGCCATCTTGCACACTGCCTGAAGGTGATGTTAATTTTTCAAAACTCCTTGATTTGAGCGCTCTTGAATGTCATGAATGAAAGGGTCGAACTAAGAGATGTCTCGTAAAAATTTGAATTCATGAGAAACGACGCTATACCAAGGCACAAAATACTCAAGAGTTGCCAGTGATTCAGGAAAACTGATGAAAAGGAATAAATTGATTAAGGGGATGAATAAATTTAGCAGCTTTGAATGTTTACAAATGCAAATGTATTTGTTGAACTAGGACTTAATTTCCCTTAAACTCAGATGTTGGGAAATCAACTGTTATTGAGGTATGATTTTAAGGGATTTATTTCGTTTCACCAGAGCTTTAAAATGTTCTCCTGGTTAAGCTCACGTGAAACGCTCGCAAATCTCTCCCTTTAATCTTTATTTTCAATGGTGGTGTTATCTTTTCTTTTCTAGAAGAGGACTTCAGCCTCGTGAAGGACGATGAAAGAAATAGCTTCAAGTGAGAGCAATCACTTATGGGTTTCATAAACACTGTGATCTGTTTTGCTGTTGTATTTACACGGCACTTTACAGACACTCGAGGTATTTATTATTTTTCCTATCTCCTAAGATAATCTGACGCCAGGTTTCTTTTATTTTCTAACAAACGGAGCAGATATTGGCTATGAATTCGCCTCACATCAATTGAAAAGGTTATTCATTTTCGACTGGCTATTAATTTTTGCAAAAAAATATCGAAAGATTTTTTAGGCATGGAATGATTCTGATTTACACTTTTGCAACAAGAATTTGCTGGGCTTCGGCTCATTGTAGCTCATATTACTAACGAAACAAGTAAGCTGCTGAAAAAATTCAACGTTTTACAAAATTTATATTTCTGTTGCTTTGAAAATAAAATAAACTGTACAATAAAGGAGATGGCAAATTAGTATTATCAGCGTGCGGAAACAAACAATATCTCGTTTTCCCCAACTCGTGTCTGTGACGCGTAATGAAAAGTAAGGCGTTTTATCGAGGCTTCCAAATTTCCATGTACTTTAGATTACGATCCGAGATATATGACAGTTTTCCTCAAATCCAATTTCATGTTTGACAGTTCACGAGTTTATTTCTATATCTGTCGTTGTAAGAGCATAGCCCTACTTAAAGTCTTAGCTTTCAGCCTACCACAATCAACTAAGTTGAAATAGATTTGAATCAACAGGAGAACTGCCAGACTCTTAAGAGATTTGTCACACCTGTAGAGAAAGGCCAATCATTGGTCTGGATATCAGGCTTGAATTCACCCCATCTGCCCTGAGAGACAAGCAAAAATCCTGTTGATTTGTCTTTGGCAAACATACTTTCCTCAGCGAGATGTGCTCGCAGTTCACATCCGCCAAAATAAGTACGGTCCATGATATCTCATTAAATTATATGACTAGTCCTTTATACATCTCTATGCATCTTTTTTTTATTTTTATTTACAGCATGCCACATGAACATAACCAGTCTCAATGGAACGATTAACATTTTAAACCCTCCCGCGAAGCAAACGAACTCCACAGGGTACACCTGCAAGTGGAACATTCAGCTTATGAAAGTCGACACACCTCGCCATGTTGAGCTACGTTTCACTTCATTTGACATCGCTGGAATCATGCCAGAGTGCTTCAGTGGAAATTATATCGAATTATTTCTTGGTTGCAATCCATCAAAGTCTATCGGTAAATTTTGCGGGAAGTTGTCAATGCCTGTAGTGTATTCGTTTGATCACTGTCTCCAAATAAGGCTCATCGTCGCGTCTGATTTCCGATTTGAAGGAAGCAGTTTGCTCGATGGTGTGCCCTATTTTACAGCTGTTTTCAACCAACGCTTACGAACAAAAGGCGAGTGATTCATAAAGCCATAAGGTTTGATATGCATTTAGTTAGGCACTGAGAGAAGTGTGACACGAATTAAATAATCAGCAACTAAATAATTAGCAACTTAGATTTAAGATGACTACAAAAAGTTTTCCGAGACACCTCCCGACTATATTCAAAGCGCTCATAAACCACTGAACTTTATTTTTTTCACAGTCAAACCAATTTCACATATACATTGACCACAGGATTAAAATTTGAAAGCAGTGAGGCCTTATCGCAAAAAGAAAATTTCTGAAGTGATGAGAAAACCTATTGAGGATGACTGTCCCCAAAAAACTGTTTAATGAAATATTCCCATTATATTAGCATAATAATGGCGATTGCCGTGCCATGCCCACCGTTTAAAACGTTAATCCTTTAGTTAGCACATGTGTGAAAATCGTTTGACTACAAAGGAAGAAAGTTGGTTTATGAGAGCTCTGGCTTCCAGTGCACTTATTACTAAGTTCCCTGATAATATTTTTTATACTGATATTTTTTTTACTTTAGACAGTTGTGTACTTCATGCTTAATTAATGATGCCGATAAAAGTTAACAAAATTTCTGCTATCTTTCATTTTCCTCAGCCTTATCGCAGAATTATTGTAAGTATAATTATGTGTGATCTTCTTGTTTAACTGTCTCCCTCAAGGTGAAATGGAAGACAAAAATGCTTCTTCTGAGTTGACTAATATTGCTCTTAAAATAGTCATGCAATGATAGGAGCAGAAAATAATTAAAGACTAAACATAGTTTTGGAAAATCTCTTTTTCCATGGACAATAACAAAGATTTTTAGATTTTTTCCGCTTTTTAAATGTTGCTTTACTATTACTCTTTAGTGTCATCATTCGCAAAATGATATACTTTTAAAATTTAATTTAGCGTTGTTTCAGAGAAAATTGATTTCAATCTTACAAGTTTTTGTCTTTGGAAATTTCTTTCTTTTTATCATTCATGGAATCACTAAGAAATAAAAGGAAAATCTAGGCATAATAGTAAGTAAACCGCTTATCAACGAAATATAACAGATTATTGCGAGGAGATATCAAAAGCATTTTATGATAGAGTAACCCTTTAACTCCCAGAGGCTATGTATATGTAACTTACTAACATTCCAATAAGTTATTTTGCAAACAAATAAAGGGGGTAAGTTTCTAAAGAAACTGAGCTGCTACGTCGGTGGGAGAGTATAACAGGGTAATTTAGTATTATCAACTGAGATGATAACGAAAATTGGCCAACGTAAAGAGTTCAAAAGTTGAAGTTTCGAGCGTTAGCCCTTCGTTAGGGCGAATGATGAATAATTGGGAGTTAAAGGTTGAGCACGTCAAATTTGAAATTATCACCTTGTTTCAGCCAATTCTCTATTTAAGTCAAAATATTTTGATTAGCTGTAAAACAATCACTCATTTTTGACGTTTTTCAATTGTTGAGAACATCTAAAATAAAACTCACTGATTCTGCCAACATTAATTTAAGACTTCAATTATACATTTCTAAAAATTTACTGATATAAATTAAAGAAGAAAGAAAATTACAACTTCTCATTTGCAGACGGTTGTGGCAAGGACTATTATGCCAATGCAAGATATGGAAATGTCTTCTCGCCACACTGGCCTCTACCCTACCCCCGGTACGTAGACTGTGTATGGCACGTGACTACGCGGAAAGACTATAATATCAAGCTGCTGTTCTTTGATTTTGACGTCAGATCAACGAACGCAAGCTCAGAAGCCGACTTCGTGGAAGTGAGACCAGGAAGTAAGTACCTCATGGATAAAGTAGAATCTTTATCTTAGTTCGTTTTCTTGTTTGGTTTGGTGAGTATACGCAGGGCGGGAGGGAGGGGAGGGAGGGTGTTAGCCATGGGGGAGGTATTTTCGAATGAAAGGCAAACTGGAATCCCAAATAGAGCGAGAAAGATGGTAAAATAAAACAACTGGTTCGTCTACAAGCAATCGAACCTCAGACCTGTAAACTATATGATGTTCTAACAAAGAGCTAAACAGAACTAAGTGGAGTACTAGGCCTCTATTAGCTTCATATGAGAATTTTGTGGCCTGTTGAAAGCTCTAAGTCAATCAAGTTTAATTGGCAAAAGCGTCTTCACCCGCTTATCTCGACTGTTTCTTTAATCAAGGAAGGTTAGTGACAAAATCCAAACAGTGTGGAAGAAAGGACCCCTTTTCACTAACAATTGAGGGAGACTCAGTATTCATACAATTCAAAAGTAATGCGGAGGCTGGAAATCGGGGATTTATGGCCGGATTTGTAACCTACAGTGCTGGTATGTAGATATCGAATGTAATAATTTGATGCATTACACATTCTTCGCCATACGCTAAAAATGGCGCAAGTGTTTTATCGATAACTGTAAGCCGAAAACTGTTGAATATACTGATTCCCGCCTTTCCGTTTTGGACCAAATTCTCTTTACTCACTTTCACAAATCACCTATCTTTAATTTTCAGTCTTAGTTCTTTATTTTCGTCGAGATCCCGTTCGAAGCCAGCGACCTGATTTCCACTACCATCTTTGATATTAAGTCTCCGTACTAAGAGCGGTCAAGGGTAGGATTTGCCAAATCTATACATTTATTGTATGTAGGTCTTAAGAGACCTATCGCACTAAAGCACTTTTCAAATGAAAACTTATCGTAATGTGTGATTCGTTTCCACACACAGAGACTGTCGACTTTCAACCTCAAGTCCTCATCATGCTGGCCGTGATATTCTCAACTCTTTTGCTTTTTGCGGGAAAAGCTTTAGTTAAAAAAATGTTAGAGAAAAGACGATTGAAAAGGAAAGCTAATCTTGACCAATCAGCACGACGCTACTGGACTAGGAGTGTGACACCAATATCACATGACCACTCAGTGGGAGAATCCACGGCAAAGTCTGACTTCTTAGGTCGGAAAGGGTCCTCAACAGGCAACTGCCCAGTGAAAAATGTCACTTTTGAAACAGCAGGAACAGAAAGCAAGCCAAGCCCAGGAAAGGAATACAGCAATGAAGATCTGGAGCAAGAAACTGTCTGCTAATCGGTTATTTGTCGCCTTAGGTCGGTCGTGTCGCAAAAAAATATACTTGATCCCTCCTAAGACTCTGTAGTATTCTGTAGACCTCCCCTCATTGGCAGTCACCTTTCTTACCCCTCCCCCCCTCCATTTATTCTCTGAGTAGCGACACCTAGTCCCCCCTTATTTCCCCCTGAAAACCATGTGAACCCCCATAAATTATTTAACCCCTCCCCCCACAGATGATTAATAGTCTCAATTCCCTTGGCTCTCGATCAATTGACACTTTGAAATCAATCGATGTTTGGAAGTACATGTACATAAGTATTGTAATGAAATGTTCCTCTCATCGATAACTGTCCGGATTTTTTAATATATATCTGTTACAGTGTTTTCTCACAATGACGTTATCTGGAGAATTTTCGGCCCCATTAGTTTGCAAATCTGCAGTTCACTTTCGAGAAAAAGAAACCACAGTGAAAGAAACCATCGTATCCTGTTAGAATTAGACTATGAAACTAATAAATAGATTCCACATTTTTCAGCAGAATCGAAGTGAGAAAGAAGTTATTTTGTTTTTGTTTTTCTGTCTCTAAATTCGCTTACCTGGAGAATCTGCTAATCAGTATAGTGAGACTGTTGTAACGACCCGCCACAGAAGAAAGTTTAAATTGAAGTTTTTTTAATTCAATTACGAGATGAAGACTTGATTTGCATTCGTTCTGAAAATGTATTTCTTTTAGATCGAATAATTATAAGACCTTGACTTGATATTATGCGGTTTGTGGTGGTCATGTGAGCTAACCAGTTCAGATTAAGGACACAATCATAGTACCCTAATGGTTACTGACTGTTGCCTATCTAATTTCTACTCGCTCTATATCCAACACAAGGAGTTTAATTTATCACAAAATTACTATTATCATATTCATTATCAATAATATATTCGTTATTGTTACCGTCTATTTTATAAACCAGATCTTTTCTTTTTTATTTTTTTTTATTCACACTTCTTAATTTGTTTATTTATTTTCCGACTTTTAACACGAATCAAGTGGCAAAATAGCAAAATTAAGCAAGAGATGGCGATCGTGATCTTTCTCCTTCACTTTTCTCGTATTAAAAGCTGCAAAAAAATTCCCAAAAGCCGTCCACAACGGTCACACTGCAATATAAGAAATTAAAGGAAAAGTTGGTTCATAATTGTCAGTGCTTTGTAAAGTTCTTTAAATAATGCAGTCGAGCGTGGTGCATACATTGTAATATTATAATATTCCTGTCATTATGTCTATTAGCGCAATATGGGGAATATTCGATCTAGAGAAAAATAACTGAGTGCTACAAGGTCAGTACTGTGGTCAAGCGGAGTCCTATTATTTTCTGCTATAAAAACCCTCTCCAAAGAGAGGGATACACTTACTTGACGCGTGGATTACTGTGGAGGGTAGGGTGGCACCCCGCCTGGTTGTCCAGTGGGGTAAGGAGGTGCTCCACCCGGTTGTCCAGGGGGGTATGCTGCCTCGCCCCCAAGGGGTCCAGGTGGGTACGGTTGTCCTGGAGGAGGGTATACCCCAGATGTTTCTGCAATTCAAGCGTAAAGTTCGGTGTCAAGGCCCCCAGCTCTTCGAGGTCTAAGTGTATCATCTACAGCACAGAGAAGTTCTGTATATGCATCTTTTTCAA